GTGCATATACTTATAATTATAGATTATCAAATTCTATGAAAAAGTATGGGTACCAGGTAGGACATTGCAAAATGGAATAGACTAGGCACTGGTGCACGGCACTGCTGCAAGTCTATTCCCAGAGGAATGTAGGATATACTCCGCATTGTGTATGTTTGTATATGTATCTATATAATTTCAACTTCAATTTTGTTGTCCAGTAGTTGGCTATTTAGTTGATGAATCTACTACTTTAAGTTGTGTCCAAGGTAGTGACGTATCTAGGGGATGGGCAGGGTTGTGGGGTGCCATTTTAAAATGTCAGAAGCAACCACGTTGTTAAAAATCATTACATAAAAAATTATTTTGATGTAGCACCCCCTCAGTTAATCATCAAGCCCCCATTTCACCTTCACACGCCCCCAACCCCTTCAGCCCTGCCTAGATATGCTACTGATTAGAGGAAGTGTTGCCAGAGTGTTAGTTATTGTTATTATATAACAGTGGATCAGGTAGCAAGTTGTTGAATGCAGTTCAAAGTTCATGAATGTCGCTTGTTATTTACTTTACTGTTTTTCTACTACAGTTTGCAAATTCCAAGACCCCTCTAATTTTGAGAACCCTCTGAACTATGATACACCAACCAAGCTCTAATTAGAGACCGAACCCCCAAAACCACCCCTCACTCTCCTGAATATATTTTGTGAGTGCATTATGTTTTTCTTAGGGATAGATTTCTTTTTGTGAGGTTGTCTTCCAAAATACTGTACCTTAGTCAAAACACTATTAACTTATATTATTGATCATGGACCAAAAATGCATAAAAAATATGAAAAACATTTATTTTTTTAAAATTTTTATAAATATTTTATAATTATCATTATTGCTTTTAAAGTCATAATTAAACTAAATGATAAATACTGTATCAATAGTTGAATTGTTATAAATTATGTATTATTTTATGAAATTGAGGTTTTTTGATAAATACTGTATCAATAGCTGAATTGTTATAAATTATGTATTATATGTATTATTTTATGAAATTGAGGTGTTCTGATAATTGTAAAGTCCTTTAAGTCAGTATCATTTTTTTAAGAGCGAGCCTAGGTAAAGTTTGTGGTTTCCCAACCTCGAGGTCAGAATTTCAATCCCTCGCTGTGCATTTGTTTGTGTCTACCCAGCTCTATCAATGAGTACCAGTGAACTGCTGGGGGTAACCTGCGGCGGACTAGCGTCCCACCCAGGGGGAGTATGCATTCTCATTGGTTTCAGGCTACAGAAACTGGAGATACAGTAAGTTCTAGCCCTACGAGTACGAGTGGCTCGGCAAGGATTTACTTTACTTAAAGTTTATAGTTGAAGGAAGTCTAGTTTTGGATTGCTCATACTGTCATTAAATTAGGTCATAGTTAAGCACACAGAGGCAGTTTAATGCAATAATATGCATTATATAAATATTGCACTATTATTCTGTATACTCGTACATTATGGCAACAATTGTATAATGCAGTTGATGTATGGAAGGGGAACAGACGTATTAGAGAGCTTTGATTGCACGACGCGGTAGAACCTAGAAGATAGTGACGTCACTAATAATTCATCTGCGCATGTGTTCTGGCCGCGTAGATTCTAGGATGCAGTTTGACCAAATCTATGTTTCACGCTCAGAGAATGTATGACGGTCACGCATGAGTGAATCTGTTTTAGCATCGTGCCTCTTTGTTGCGCAAATCACAAGCTCTCTGTTGGCTCTTGGATACTGTATGGATTCATAGGGGAAAAGCTCTCCACTAGGGTGTTAGACAATTCCTACCAAGGATGTCAAAAGTTAATATACTGTATGTAATTACAATTTTTTTAAAAACTTGTAAAAAGATTTAAAAAAAAAAAATTATAAAACTAAAAACACAAAAAATATTTTCATTAACTTGTATTTGTGTAAGTTAGTAGTAGTAAGATACATTTTTTTCTTATTCCAAAAAATAGTAAAAAAAATAAAAAAATTAAAAATATACATTTGCTTGTAACCTTTTAAATTCTTTAAAGATATACTGCCTTTCTCTGAAAAAAATACAATAATAAGAATGCTCATATATGCTTTGTATAGGCAATTCAATGCTCAATTCAGTATTTCATATACTATGGATAAATCTTCCAATTAACTACGAATATAAAATGAAAATGATATTAAAATTATTTTGAATACAAATAGCATTTAATCCTGTGTTACAATTCACTTTATGGCAATACATTTTGTACTTTATTGGTTATATGTTCAATAATTTAACATAAAAACATGACAATGAAAAACGTAGTAAATGATAAAGTTTTAGTAAATTAACTCATTATAATATAGCAATTTCAGGTCCATTGAATTTGTATATGCAACTAAAAATTGTTAATGTTAATGACGTATAGGATAACAAAGAATAAACAAAAAATAATAACATCATTAAACCCATATTACAAACATGATTCAAACAATCTGTTTAGTGGACCATGTGACTGTATAATGGGCATTATGGCAATACTTTCATTACAGAGTAATAAAAAAAAAAAACACTACCTAATTCCACTAAACTAATAATTGACTTTATAAAAATAGTGTTGATATAATAAAATAAGTTACTGTAATCAGATAAATTGATAATTGTTTCTAATTATTATGTAATATTTAATTAACTTTAACAAGATCATAGAAATATTTCTTCAGTTTGTAGTGCAATTATTTTGATTTAAAAAAAATTGTTTATGATTTTTTTTTTTAATGATTACTGTCAATTAAGCACAAGTATAAGCAGATATTCACATATAAAGTGAATATATGTTGGCAAATCATTTATATTCATCTATATTTTAAAGGTTTCAGTTCATTCAACATCAGTTCTTTGTTTCATTGTAGTTTGTTTTGTGTAGTATTAATGCTTACCTTCTATAAATTGTATTGTATCTATATAGAGGAGTTGTTTATAAGGGATTATGTCCACTCAGCAACCCTTGCTTGCATTGTTTTGTTTGTTTCATTTACTTGAAATAAATTTGATTTGATTTGGTAGAGTAACAGTATGTTTCAACTTTTTAATGATGACACTATCAACATTTGTGATATATTTTGTGTAAACCATTTATGAATATTTTGGGACTGAAGACATTTGAGCTCACAAAAATATACTTCAATTTCAATAAATAATGTTTATAGTGGGAGTATATTTTCTGATATTCATGGTATTTAAGATTTGAATGGCAACTATAATAGTGACTATTTTATGCTTAAATACAATCTGTATAGTAGCCTCAAGTCATATTTTAAATGTGAATGACATGTTTATGTAATTTGGTTACATGCCAAGCATAGGCCTCCATTTGAGCACCCGCAAATACTGTCCTTTTGACAGTTCTATAATTTCATTGCACAGCCTATTAAAAAAATGTGCTGTAATAAAATAGAGTTATATAAATGCTGCAGTGTATGTACAGAATATGTATGTATGTAGGTTCTAGTTATATTCGAAATTAAATATCAACTGAAAATGAATTAATGCTAATGTATACAGTATATTATATATGTGTTACTTGTGTGTAAAATTTATATGTCGAATACCCTGGAAAAAATTTTAACACAACATTATAAATGTTACTTATTGATTATTGAATGATTAAAAAATGTAACCTAAGATTTTCTGTTTAAAAAGCTGTTTTATTTCCACTTTTAAAAATGGAAAGAGTACTCCTTTTAATCAACATTTTAGTGTTCAGTAAAAGATAAAGTGAAAATCTGTACAGTAAGTGAATGTTTAGATGAAATACCATAAAACCTCGAATAGAAGCCCAATGGGCTTAATCTCGAAAAGATTCC